AACGGGTTCAAGATCTTGTACATGTACAAGCCTTTGCTTCTTATGTAGAATCCTTATATCATTTCTGTTGTTTTGATGTTAAATTCATGTAATTATTCCATTTAACAATTTAAGGTATGAAAATTAACAATGGTTCAATGGTGGCGAACAATGGTTTTGACAGTTAATTTTAATGTTTTTCTGTAAGTACTGTTCACTCGTATGTGTTATCTGGTGCTATTTCTTTTGCTTTAGCTGAATTTCCTTTACATAATTAAGAGGGAAATGTTTTCATTGACATTGTTTGGTTTATTGGGGGCCTCAGACTCATCTAGGTTATGTAAGCATGAGCCTAACAGCAAGCCAGATTTGCTTTTTCTTTAAAGCGTTTATCCCCAAGATAACAATACACAGTCAGACAGTGGTACACCATATATGTACATACCATTACCTTCCAGCATTGTAGTCACATGGTACATAGCAAAAAGGAAATCTCATGCACAAATAGTGCGGCATAAAAATCATATGATTTGTCGGCACAAGTCATCCCTTATACTTTGTATTATATTAAAGATCATTTCATACATGTACCTCTCCGATCTGTAGAATAGTTTGGTCATTGTTTCCTAGCTGGGTCAGGGCACAGCAACCTAAAATACATCTAAATGTTTTAAACAAAACAACCTACATGCATCTTTAAAAAAGTTTCACATTAAAATGCCAGTACCTCACGTAACATGGCCAAATTTCACATCAATTCAGAACATCGTGCTCCATCTACATGTACTCACCACGCCACCTTAACTGACAGCTGAATACATTTTAAACATGCTCATAAAAAGCTTTTGTTGAACTCCCACTTTTTCACGTGCAAGTCTCGCCGTACAAACTGCATGTGTAATTCTACAAAGGAATGTTGCAATTTGACCTCATTATAGCAGGCGGTGTGGACTGACTGACTGTGTAAATGTATAAAGATGAAAGCCACTGATTTCAAGTATTTAATCAACCAAGTTCTAAATCTTTCAACAGATTGACCCCAATGGAACATCGTTTGTGCTTGGATTGAGTGATAGTGTTGATGTTCATGTACAGCTACAAGATCCTGTAAGTAATGAGTACATGTACAGTATGGGGGATCCCAATACGACGCTTTTAACATCGATCTGCGCACTTCCACGTTTTAAAACGAGGCTGCATGTGTCAGCTTCAATTCTTAATACGATTAGATGATTGAAAGTAAGGTGTCAAGACACAAAATACATACAGGTATGTTAAATTCAGACTTTTAAGGCTGCAAATTTTTGTGGAAGAGTCTTTCAAGATGACTCGACGCATAAAATCAAAAGAAAAAAAACCGACAATTTACCATGAACTAACATACCTGCGATGGTCGTGTATCTGAATGAGTGCAGTGGGCGTGGTTTAAACTGAAACAGCATCACACTCATGAACTGGATACTGCATGTATGTGTCGACTCTGGGGCGTACGCGACAAAGTTCAATACACAGAGCCTCAGTTTCGATGTGGATATAAGCAGATGGTGCTAATGTGAAACATTAACCACTTCGCGTTGGGGAGCCCGGTTTCTGAGATGTATGATTAATACACGTGGCCGGGGTCTCCGAAATCGGCCCTGTAACAAAAGACCATACTCCAAATAATTTAAGACCAGGCTGCTGGGCATTACTGACAATTTACACTCTCAAAAGTGGAGATAATCCAGCCTTGTTTTGAAACAGTATACCACGGTTTTGGGCATTTAGAGCAAATGGATTACCATTGCGGATAAAAGTGCTCCACCACTGCAGCGATGAGCCACACAGTATCGCTGCATGCATATCATTAACATTGATAATTAACCCAGACGCAAAGTGGTTAATGAACACTGTTTACTTTTAACCTTTGAAGCACAGCTTGTGTTATTTGTCTCGCAAAAATCCATGGGCCACAGGACATTCCTGATTGCTTGTACAGTGCACAGGTGAGGTCGATCTGCAGACCGATTATAGCCTTCAAAAGTGCATTTTTCATGGCCTCACATACATGTAGTACTAGTCATTGGTAAATGTACCTTCAGGTTTGTGTTATTTTCTTCTTTAACCCTTTGCGTGCATATTTGCGCCCATGCTCCATATTCCCACTGCAGTAGTAGACTCAATCCACATTAGGTGGGGGGAGATTATGAGATTTATTGGTTTATTGCAGTGGTAGAATTCTTATTGCTTGCAAGTGACAATACATGTAGCATGGAATTTTGTCTGCATGCGTTGCAACCATAAGTTCAGTGACTATACTTGGTGGACTTCAGTAGCTGTTCATGCTTATTGGTTTGTGTTCTTGCTGGACACATAATGTTGCCTTTACATTTCAACTACTGGTATTAATACAAAATCCAGTGACTTGTTCTTAGATGTCATCCCCAAATTGACTACCTGTTCAGACGCAGACATTCTGCCAATTCTGCATGAGCATGCTTGAGCTGTGCCAAACAAAAGAGCCCTTGACAACCCACAATATGTAAGACTCATGTTAATTACCTATCATGAATACGGCCGAGATTCCGTGGATTGTCTGCCGACCTGTGTTGCAGGAGTATCGGTACTTTGAATATGAATGGTTTAATCCCAATGGCGTCTTCAATGGCCGATGTTTTGTAACGAGGCTATATCAACCAGGATATATAGATTGCAGTGATGAAAATAAGAAAAAAAAATTTGCTAATCATAGTGTCATTTGATAAGCATTATGATGAAATTGACTGGCAAAATTTTGTAAATGTGCCTAATTCACTACCATTGTATACAGTTTTAATATCTACTGATGTGTATACTGACTCTAAACACTGAAACAACACAGGTATGGTATAGCATGGTTGTTGGTTATGGCTCTGACCAAAAATTGGGTGTAGAAACAAATTTTTATACAATCAAGGGTAGAGTAAACAAAACCCTGCTAGCAGCTAGTCCCTACAGTTTCTACATTTGACCTAGAATGGTTGGCGACTTAAAAGTCAAATATTTGCCAAGAAAAGGGAAATGGAATACATGTACCTCACTGCAAATTACACTGATCAGAAGTCACTGTCAGAGTCTGTGCTTTCATTGAGATCTGACTCGTTCTGCAGAATTTCGAATGGCTTAGATTTTGGCCTCCTGAAAGCTACATACACATGTACAGTACATGTACATGTAACTCACAGTGAATGACGATTCTCTTGTTTCAGCCATGGCATACATGTATCTCTCTGCCATTTTCAACAGTACATTTGGACGGTGCTTTCGGCATTTTTGTTGCGCACTGATCACCACGAAATGACAGAAGTTAACACGTGCATCCATGTACATGTACGTATATACGCACGTACACATACGTACGTACATGGAAGCACGTGTTAACTTCTGTTAAAAATCTTTATTTCCATAGCCGACTACCGTGACTACATACACCGGTACGGCTCGATCAAGTAGGATGACATTAGGGGAGGATCATTGTCTTTCAATAGGGGCTTGTTGGCATGAAACTTAACTGGACACAGATACATGTACCACCCTTATTTTCATCTTGTATAAAATCTCTTGTTTTAGAAACCGGTGGCTTTGAAAAGAGCTGTTGGGTTTTATGCTTGGATGATTTGCTGCACATGTCCTGGGACTCTTTGTGTTTACTTCTTGTGGACACGCTCTCATGGGTGCAACATCCATCTGTGATCCAGAAATCTATTGTAGATGTAGTTTAATCAAGGTCAGTCTATCTCCCAAATCAAATTCCAAAATGTAGGACATTTGTTTTCTGTGCCTCTTTACAAGTATACATGTACATGTACATGTACTTCTAGACATCGTGCGTAATGCGTAATATGTACATGTACAATAGTTAGTGCACATTGAGACATCGGAGAGCTCACTACGATCGTGTACAAAATACATTAATACAACCAATGAATCTCCTCCATCCTCACGCGACTTCGATTTCAATAATTTGAACAATTTCTAAACTGTTTATCTAAAGTTTATTTAGGAGTTCCAATTCCACAGAAGGTTACTGTCGCAGGTGTAGCATTTGCCGACTTTGTTTTGGCAACCAAAAGTGGTTGTGTTTATGGACCACGCTTGACTCTACAAAACGATCATGGGAATGGTAGGATATATGAAAACAGGACAAACAGCATGCTCAAATGGGAGTTTCCTACTTTATAGCACACACAAGATAAAATTAGATTTTGAGCAAATTGTGTTTTGGTTTTTTCTCACAAAACAGATTCAACTACCAAACTATTTTATTCGATATACAGTACCTGTACGTTCATCTCTGGTCTTGCTAAATCATGGCTGGATATACCTTGTACTCCTACAGGTAGATGTGAGAAGCTATTGTATTTGATATACGTGTACGTTCATCTCTTCTATCTTGATAAATCCTGGCTGGATATACTCCTATATGTAGACGCTAGAAGCTATTAGACTGATTATCATGTTCATGTACAATTGTGTGTGTTATTGCAACTGATTTTGTTTTTGCTTTTATCATCAATAATCATCTGAAGGTCAAATTGAAGGTCAAATATTTGAATTGTAAATTATTTGAATTGACTTAGCCTAACCAATGCCAAGTGTTTCAAAATGTCCTGATGCAACACAGATCAATTTAAAAACTCATTCTAAATCAATCACTGATAAAAATCACCTTCATGAGAACCTTGTTCAAGTAGACGTAGTTGAGAGCTTTAAAACTCTCCTTGGTCATAGACCTACATGATCACTCAGAGTAACACCCTTGACATACATGTACAATGTATATCTTCTCTCTCTGTTGCGTTAATGCCAGAACTGGTTTCTACAATGTACATGTACATTGTATGTATACATGTACGTGCACAGATACAGATAAACAACTACATTGTACATGTATCAAAGTGGACCAACATGTATACATGTACATGTACGTGGTGGTTTATGTATGTATGAGAGAATTTCATTCTAGGAAACACCAAACCTTGTTTGATTTGGATATATTCATTCACATGTACATGTACATTGTACATTGAAAGTTGAAAAGAGGCCATTGTTCTAAACAGTACAACTGCCTGAGGTGTGTAGTGTTCTGGAAAACTAGGTGTTTTGAATCAGATTGTTATGTTATCAGATTTCTATGATTCATTCCTCTAATTTTCTTTGAATTGTTCTTTTTCAGCTTCAGGATCTGATTGAAGGCATGACAGAGGTCATAGGTCATGTGTCTCAAAATCCAAATGTCATCAACTGTACCCAATTTGTTAATCTTGGAGAAATGGACTTTGGTAAGGTTATTTTTGTTTGGGGTATGCTTTTCCACATTATTGGGAAAAGGCTTTCTTTGTGTTCAGAATTTGTTTTTCTACTTCTTGTTCTTCTACTGGGGACTTTTTGGCCTCGTTGAAAATGTGTGTTTTTATTAATATTTGCCCAAACAGAGAACTTGTAACATTGACAAGTCAAGAACGGTGATGCCATGATGACATCATGAGTCACATGACACCCACAGATTTTCAGGCTCATACAATTATTCAAACTTGGCATGTTGCTAAATTGGGATGTGCTATGGGCAAATTGGAGTTACATAATGTTTACATCATCACAGGATTTTAAAAACTTTTAATTTAACTTTTTTAATCTAAAGTTCCAAGCAGTGATGTCCATGCTGAAAGATTCATATCATGCTTACAGACATTGCAATAACAAAGGAGGTAGGGACCTGTTTGTGTTTGGCTTTGAGTTCATCAGAGGAGACCTGTGGGATTCTGCCATTATCCATTCAACGTACACGTACAGTACATGTCCAAGACAGTGACACCGACATTTCAGGCTTACGCAATGTACATGTACATGTGAACACAGTTGGTGTTACTGTCAGGAGCTGCCCTGTAAACAGTGACTATCACATTTACCTTGTTGCTTAGCAAAAGACATTGATTGCTTGTGTGCTTGTGCGTGTATTGTAAGTACATGTACATGTAGTTCTAGCCACTTTCAAAATTATTGTTGTGATTGAGAACATGGGAGGGGGTTCAAAGCACTACAACGTACAGTACATGTATTTGTTAAATTAGGCCAAACAAAATAATACATGTAGTCGTGATTCCGGTTACCCGCCCCAACCTAGTAAATCACGCCAACCCTAAATCTGTTTTTTTGGCTTTATCGCAATTTTGCGAAAAAGCCATTGGAATCATCAGGATTTTTTTTGGGGGGGGGAGGTTCTTCTTCTTTTTGGGCCCAAAGTCCATAGACTTTGCACACGTTTTTTCTGTTGCAGGACTTTTGCCATTAATCTTTGTCGCACAGCATTCAAAGTTGGCATAGGCATAATCATAATTGCATAGATATGTGCCGAAGCATGACGTCATGATGACGTTATCCAGTGATTTATTATTGATTTTTAAATATTTATTTCAGCCCATTCACTTTGTACTCGTTTTCGAGGCACAATTTTGGTACTTTAGTAATCGTTGATCATCGTCAAAGTTACAACAAGCACTAAGTATAAAACAAAGATATTTCTGAAATATTTACGTCATGATGACGTCAACAAGTGATTTATTATTAAATTTTGAATAGTTAAATTTTCCGTTAAATTTATAAAAATTCATACAAAATTAACCGTGGCCTCCCCCAACATTCTGTTTGCAGCAAGTGGCAGGATAAAATGTGGTCTTGAATTCATCTCGTGTGGGTCAAATCACGTGACCCTTTCTTCCGGTCGAAACCGGAAGTGGCCTTATTGTTTAAAAGTGGTAATGGTGCCTCGTTTAAAGTACTATATCTCCTGGTGTGTATATCCAATCTGGTTCAAATCTTGCAGATATCTTGAAAAGAGTAAGCTTTAGAGGAATTTTGACCTCATGTGATCATGACTTCATCAGGAGACAAGTCATGTGACATTAAAGGTGCACTCTTTAAGACCCCATATCTCCTGAAGTACATGTACATGAGCCGATCAGGTTCAAATCTTGCAGATGTCTTGAAAAGGGAGTGCTTTAGAGGTACATGTAGATTGACCTTATGTGATAATGACATCATCAGCAGACAAGTCACCTGACATTAAGGATGCACTCTTTAAAGCCCTATATCTCCTGAAGTACATGTACATGTCCAATCGGGTTCAAATCTTGCAGATATCTTGAAAAGGGAGTGCTTTAGAGGTATATTGGCCTTATGTGATAGTGACGTCATCAGGAGACAAGTCACGTGACATTAAAGATGCACTCATTAAAGCACTATATCTCCTGAAGTACATGTTCTATCAGGTTGAAACTTTGCAGATAACTTGAAAGAGAGGTGTTACATGCGAAAAATGACTTGATGTGATGATGCCTTAGTTATTAAAATATACAAGAGAATGCAAAAAAGCCCTCTGTCATTTGTCTTGTGCATGTTTTTTCTGCCCACAACTTTGGTCACTTAGCAACTTGGGATCTTCATCAAACTTATGTCAGTGAACAACCCTTATGCATAGATGGTCCTAGAGCTACGACGTCATGATGACGTCATCAAGTAATTTATTATTGATTTTTCAATATTTATTTCAACCCATTGACTTTGTACACGTTTTCATGGCACTATTTTGGTAATTTGGCGATCTTCAATTTTAAGCAAAGTTACAGCCAACAAAGACCCTGATGCAAAGATTCATCCAAATTTATAACGTCATGATGACATCATTAAGTGATTTATTATTGATTTTTCAATATTAATTACAGCCCATTGACTTTGTACATGTTTTCGAGGCACTATTTTTGTACCTTAGTAATCGTTGATTGTGTCGAACTTACAGCAAGCACTAACTATAAAACGAAGATAATTCTGAAATATTTACGTCATGATGACGTCATCACATGATTTATTATTAAATTTTGAATATTTAAATGTTCTGTTAAATATACAAATATCCATATAAAATCAACCGTGGCCTCCCGCAACATTCTGTTTGCAGTAAGTGCCAGGATAAAATGCAGTCTTGAATTCGTCTCGTGCAGGTCAAATAATGTGACCCTTCCTTCCAGTCGAAACCGGAAGTAGGCTTATTGTTTAAAAGTGGTAAAAGCCATTAATTTTTCTTCAACGGAATTAGTCTGTCGGTGTTAGTGCTGGGTCGAAACCCTACTTATATCTTGGAGAGGAAGTGCTTTAGGCAAATATTGAGCTTATTTAGTGCTGACGTCATCAACAATTGCTTTTTTTTATAATGGACATTATTGACATTATCGAAATGTCAGATGTTATTAATTTTGCCTGGATTCTACTTTTTGGTTGATTAAGAAAGGGGCGTGACACTCGATGATCTGTGTGGGGACGTATTAAGTCCTGAACCCCAAACAGGAAGGGTGATGAAGTCAATGATAATACCAGACCCTTAACTTGCAGATGCCATGTGGCATCGTTTGCCAATGAATGTTCGAGTACTTTCAAAGTGTATATCATACAGTACTACTTTTAGTCACAGTTATCGAAAGTGAAATTCATATTTGCGCCAAAATGTCATATATAGTTGTCCTGCAATGTTTTTTCTTAAATTTTGTACACAGAAAATGTGAAATGCACAATCAATTACAGTTATGTAAGATATTATCAAAGAATTTGGTTTTTTAGAGTGACAATGCATATTTATGATCATGGTTTGCAGACTGATGTGAACAGAGAATACACTCTTTGAGGCCCTGTTTCTCCTGAAGTACATGTCCGATTGGGTTCAAATCTTGCAGGTATCTTGAATAGAGAGTGTTTTAGAGGAAAATTGACCTGATGTGATAATGACATCATCAGGAGAAAAGTTACGTGACATTAAATGTGCACTCTTTAAAGCCATATACATGTATCTCCAGAAGTAGCTGTCCGATCGGGTTCTAATCTTGCAGATACATGTATCTTGAAAAGGGAATGTTCTAGAGGAATAATGACCTTACATGTATGTGGTGATAACCTCATCAGAAGACAAGTCAAAGACAAAGGTGCACTCCTCAAAGCACTATATCTCGTGAAGTACATACTTGATTGGGTTCAAACCTTGCAGATCTCTTGAAAAGGAAGAGTTTTAGACAATCATTGACCTGATGTGGTAAGGACTTCATCGTGTGACTAGTCACGTGACATTAAAAGTACTTTCTTTGCAAGCCTATATCTTGTGAAATACATGTCTGATCGGGCTGAAATTTGGTAGATAGATTTGGCAAGTGTTATAGACAAGGTTACATTACGTAAAGGGTGCAAACTTTAATTCTTTGTATCGCCTAATGGCCAAGAGGGTGAAATTCAAATGTGGTAGTATCTCAAATGAAGGAATGCCCTTTTCTTAAGAAAAAAAAATGCGAAAAAGCCCTTTGCTCTGTCCTTAACACGGACAAAACCTCTAGTTGTGCTTATTTTTATCATGGAGGAAGGACACAGAAGGCGTTTGAACTGCCTAAGCTATAACATCTGGTCAATTACCGCTTTTTGGCCTGGCCAGTATGCCCATAGCCAGAGCGTAGGGAATGCTTGTACCACCTGTTTCACAACCACAAGCCCCCTTTGTACCCCATGATCATCGCTGCAATTTTTCGCTGGCAATCTGCCCCTCCTAAAAATGTTGTGTACTGCAGTATAGGAAGTTGAACATTCATGCCATTGTTGGCGCTTGATATAATCTGACAACAATATCAAATTCAATGCTTGCGTACATGTAGTTGCTTTTATTAGGCTGTGTGCCCTTAGTGTTTATGTACAGTCATTGCCCGTATAAAACACTTTCTTCTGGACTTAATTAATTTTAGAATAAATTGCCAAGTTGTTTATAAGATTTTGTGTTTTATTTGAATTATTTTGATTATGGAATATACACACAAACGTATTTTATGAGATGTCTTGGTCACTCTGTATGATGAAACAACACATTCAGCTTTTCATGAACTAACTGTTCTGTATTGCTCAACATGTTGTTGGCCAGTCTTAGCCAAATTCGTACAAAGACTTTGAAAACTGATGAGTGACAATTTTTAAAATGTTTACTATAGTTCGTGTGACCAATGATCATCAAGCACTTTGACGTGCTAGAGTTCAAACTCCTATCCACTTCCTCCGTGTTTTTATACACAAAGCTTTGTAATAGATTTTTAACTCTTCTTTCTTTATTTGAAAATTGAAGTTTTGCTCACGTGTTAATTGGTCTCGTGGTAGTCGGTGGTGTAATCGTGATCAAGCACCATGCAAATGCATGCCACATGCATGGATTTTATGCGGGGTCTATTCAGAGTTTAGTATGATGCCGGTATGTGTTTGTGTATTT